TACCTCATTCTCCTCCTGTTCTTCAAGTTTCTCCTTTGTATGGACTGATAAAGCCACTGTGTGGCGAAACGTTTCCTCAATAAAGATACCCAAGAGTTGCACATGTGCCTAATTTAACAACATGTCGGTTCTCTGAACCATTCATCTACAATCCTGTCAGACACCGCAACTTCTTGGGATCTTAATACTTGGGAATTCATCGCGTGCCTAACCCTTGGGCATGACCTACTTCCACATTGGACAAATGTGACACCACCTACGACTGCTGCACCTCTCCTGCCTACGGTTTATAAGCTGCTTCTCTGCTCATATGCCGTATTCTATTCAAGATTAATGGACTGACCACATCGACTCAAGGTTGAGGGAATGATTACCTCATTCTCCTCCTGTTCTTCAAGTTTCTCCTTTGTATGGACTGATGAAATCCCCCCCCCCAGTACCAACAATACCACCAGTCCAATGACATTCTTCTTTGCAAATATACAGGGTCTAAAGCCAGCAACCCCTCAAGGAAGGTTCCTTGATGTTGGTGAGGGGCTCTTGATTTAGGGAATTGGATCTGTGCTCCAGTTCCCCGAATTAAGCCTGAATGCCTTCCACATCCCCCCCAGGCGCTGTATAATCCTCCGGGTTTAGCGCTTCCCCCTTGATTATAATAATAACAATAAAGCCAGCAACAAACAACAAAATACCTTTCATCATTGGACTGCTTGCAGAGGCAAAGGCAATGTTCGTGGCTTTCACTGAGACCCACATAAAGGATCACTTGGACAATGAAATATGGATCCCAGGTTACAACCTATACAGATGTGACAGAGTGAACAGGCAAAAGGGGGGAGGGGTTGGCCTGTACATTGCAGAGTCACTTGTTTGCACAGAACTGCTTAATGCCTCAAATGATGTAGTGAAAGTTTTAGCAGTAAAGGTCGAGAACCAAAACCTAGTCATTGTGGTAGTCTACAAGCCTCCGGATGCAACATCCCAGCAATTCCAGGAACAGCTGTTAAAAATTGACCTCTGTCTGGAAAATCTTCCAGCTCCTGCACCCAACATCTTGCTCCTGAGGGATTTCAACTTAAGGCACCTAAAAGGAGGAATATAGCAAATAATATTGTTGCAGTAATAACACCAGGAGGCAGCTCTGATGAAAACTCACACTCACACGAGCTTTTAAATCTCTGCACAAAATTCAATTTAAACCAGCAAATAATAGAGCCTACTAGAATGGAGAATACACTAGACCTCATCTTCACTAACAATGATGATCTGATAAGAAATGTTACCATATCAAAAACAATATACTCAGATCACAACATAATTGAGGTTCAGACATGTATGCGTGGAGCCCCAGACCGACATAATGAGATTAGTCACGAGGGAGCATTCACCAAATTCAACTTCAATAACAAAAACATAAAGTGGGACCAAGTAAACCAAGTCCTAACCGATATAAGCTGGGAAGATATACTAAGCAACACAGACCCCAACTTATGCCTAGAACAGATTAACTTGGTGGCACTCGATGTATGCACAAGGCTTATTCCTCTAAGAAAAAGGAGGAGTAGATGTAAAATAGAAAGAGAGAGGCGCTCCCTTTACAGGCGACGGAAAAGAATAACAGAGCGGCTAAAAGAGGTCAATATATCTGAAATGCGTAGGGAGACACTGGTCAGAGAAACAGCAAGCATCGAACTTAAGCTAAAGGAATCTTATAGGAGTCAGGAATCGCGGGAAGAACTAAAAGCCATAAATGAAATCGAAAGAAACCCAAAGTATTTCTTCTCCTATGCCAAATCAAAGTCGAGAACAACGTCCAGTATTGGGCCCCTACTTAAACAAATGGGTCCTACCAGATGACAGCAAGGAAATGAGTGAGCTACTCAAGTCCCAATATGACTCAGTTTTTAGCAAGCCGCTAACCAGACTGAGAGTCCGAAGATCAAAATGAATGTTTTAGAGAGAGCCACAAAATTTGGTTAACACAAGCCTAATCCGATGTTATCCTGACGCCAAAATGACTTCGAACAGGCGATAAATGACATGCCCATGCACTCTGCCCCAGGGCCAGACTATGGAACTCCGTGTTCATCAAGAACTGCAAGAAGCCCCTATTACGAGCCTTTTCCATCCTATGGAGAGGGAGCATGGACACGGGGTCGTCCCACAGTTACTAAAAACAACAAACATAGCCCCACTCCACAAAGGGGGCAGTAAAGCAACAGCAAAAAACTACAGACCGATAGCACTAACATCCCATATCATAAAAATCTTTGAAAGGGTCCTAAGAAGCAAGATCACCACCCATCTAGAAACCCATCAGTTACACAACCCAGGGCAACATGGGTTTAGAACAGGTCGCTCCTGTCTGTCTCAACTATTGGATCACTACGACAAGGTCCTAAATGCACTAGAAGACAAAAAGAATGCAGATGCAATATATACAGACTTTGCAAAAGCCTTCGAAAAGTGTGACCATGGCATAATAGCGCACAAAATGCGTGCTAAAGGAATAACAGGAAAAGTCGGTCGATGGATCTATAATTTCCTCACTAACAGAACACAGAGAGTAGTCGTCAACAGAGTAAAGTCCGAGGCAGCTACGGTGAAAAGCTCTGTTCCACAAGGCACAGTACTCGCTCCCATCTTGTTCCTCATCCTCATATCCGACATAGACAAGGATGTCAGCCACAGCACCGTGTCTTCCTTTGCAGATGACACCCGAATCTGCATGACAGTGTCTTCCATTGCAGACACTGCAAGGCTCCAGGCGGACATCAACCAAAACTTTCAGTGGGCTGCAGAAAACAATATGAAGTTCAACGATGAGAAATTTCAATTACTCAGATATGGTAAACATGAGGAAATTAAATCTTCATCAGAGTACAAAACAAATTCTGGCCACAAAATAGAGCGAAACACCAACGTCAAAGACCTGGGAGTGATCATGTCGGAGGATCTCACCTTCAAGAACCATAACATTGTATCAATCGCATCTGCTAGAAAAATGACAGGATGGATAATGAGAACCTTCAAAACTAGGGAGGCCAAGCCCATGATGACACTCTTCAGGTCACTTGTTCTATCTAGGCTGGAATATTGCTGCACACTAACAGCACCTTTCAAGGCAGGTGAAATTGCTGCCCTAGAAAATGTACAGAGAACTTTCACGGTGCGCATAACGGAGATAAACACCTCAATTACTGGGAGCGCTTGAGGTTCCTAAACCTGTATTCCCTGGAACGCAGGCGGGAGAGATACATGATTATATACACCTTGAAAATCCTAGAGGGACTAGTACCGAACTTGCACACGAAAATCACTCACAACGAAAGCAAAAGACTTGGCAGACGATGCACCATTCCCCCAATGAAAAGCAGGGGTGTCACTAGCACGTTAAGAGACCATACAATAAGTGTCAGGGGGCCGAGACTGTTCAACTGCCTCCCAGCATACATAAGGGGGATTACCAACAGACCCCTGGCAGTCTTCAAGCTGGCACTGGACAAGCACCTAAAGTCAGTTCCTGATCAGCCGGGCTGTGGCTCGTACGTTGGTTTGCGTGCAGCCAGCAGCAACAGCCTGGTTGATCAGGCTCTGATCCACCAGGCGGCCTGGTCACAGACCGGGCCGCGGGGGCGTTGACCCCCGGAACTCTCTCCAGGTAAACTCCAGGTAATAATGTTAAGGACGAAGTGGTTAATCACTCTCCATAAGATCAGCATCTCTAAGGAAGTTGGAGAGTTTATGTTCAGTTGTGATAGTATATAAACAACCTACATCTGTTTTGCTCACTAGAATTTTACCATCTCCAGTGAAGGACTGTTGGAATTTATCATTGTTATTCCGTTTAAGTTTTGTCAGTCTGAACAGAAGATTCTGACGATGTCTCGTCAGACATTCATTAATGTACACTTCATTTTTAACTATAATTGATTATTTAATTTGATCCTTTTTCATGTCATATGAATGAAATCTGATATGAAAAATAAAATGTTTATTTCCTTGCAAATATTACAATGTGGTTTACATATAAAATATTAATTACAAAAAGGCCACTAGACTGACTAGGCATTTTAGGCAGACAAATTCTTACTTTATATTAACACAGGTTATGGTCCAGTACATTTTAATATATCTTATTGCATACTGATATAAAACTTAGGTAACTGAAGTGATTAATTAGATTTATAATAGTGAGGTAGTACAAAACACATAACAATATTACATTTAGTAAATTTATAAATGGGAATGATTTTATCTTGGCATGATTCACTGCTTCTGCTAAAGTCATACAATGCTTACTACTTTATTTTCCTAATAAATGTGCTTCTTTAATTTCGTTGTCCTGTACAACGTCAGATACCTGCGTCAGATAGCTTTTTTTGTTCAGTTTTGTCATTGTGGTAAACAAGGTAGTCATTCAAACAGGCATTTATGTTGGTTTTCCAGACCTTGATTGCTTCTTCCACTTTTGTGTTCAGAGATGTTACATGTTCAGTGTGACTGGCAATAGCTGTTTGTAGAGAACTGCCTGAATTAGTATTTCCAGATGTCGTAATCTTCTCTCCGAGGTCGAGGATCTTGCCCTCGAGGTGGGTTATCTTGACTTCATGTCGCACTAGTGTTGTACAAGGTATACAGACCATAGCTGACATCAATGATATACTACTATACAGAAAGCCGCTTGTTTTGCAGAGCATTTCCCGCAAATTAGGTCAGTTTTGTTCCCAGGATGCGACCCACACCAGTCTACTAACACCCAGGTGCCCATTTTACTGATGGGTGAACATGGACAGCAGGAGTAAGGAAACACGTCCAATATTTTCACCCTCGCTGGGAATCAAACCCGTGAAGGAAGGGATGTCAGCTAGGCCTGTATACCTTGTATATGTACTTATAGAAATATAGTATTATTTATATTATTTATTACTTTGGTTGAGGTTTCATTTCAGGACACAGGAAAGCGGGGCTCAATACACCGTAAGCTGTCAGTGCCACTATAAACCCCAACAACAACAACTCGTTAGTTCAACGGTGTTGGCTGTCAGTGCCACTATAAACCCCAACAACAACATATCGTTAGTTTACATTTTACAATACAACCCGTGTACACCACGGAATAAATATTTCTTGTGCAAATTGTTACTTTGAGGTAGACTGGCGCAGCCAGTTATTACTTAGTACTGAGTGTGAGTAACTGCTCAAACTGCTGAATATCAAATCAAATCAAGTTTATTCTCTATAAAGATTACAATGTGCGGTTTACATATTATAGGATATTTTGTAGTTGATATATTATATAAACTAATTACAGAGAGGGTCACTATCACAATATGAACACGGTAGGTGTCCCGTGGCTCATTATTATTATTATCAAGGGGGAAGCGCTAAACCTGTAGGATTATACAGCGCCCAGGGGGGGATGTGGAAGGCATTCAGGCTTAATTCGGGGAACTGGAGCACAGATTCAATTCCCTAAATCAAGAGCCCCTCACCAACATCAAGGAACCTTCCATGAGGGGGCCTCCCGTGGCTCAGCTGGTAGCGTCCTCAGTTTACATATTGAGGGGACACGTTCAGTCTCAGAATTAAAATTAGTTTTAAAAGGCGTGCACGGATAAGCCAGTAGAAGGCCTCAGTCAAATGACTAGAAGGTACAGTGGCGGGTCATCATATGACTTAAGACCTGCGTAAGGAAAGACTGGATAAAGTGTATTTTAAGCCTACCCATAATGGTCTGCATACAAGGGGCTTTTGTCTTGTACACCCAACTACTATAATTCCTTGTACAACTATGTATCATGTCCAAATAAACTATATGAATATGAATATGTGCCTGGTGGTTAAAGCTCTCACTTCACACAGTGAGTGTCTGAGTTTGATTCCCGGTGAGGGTAGAAACATTGGGCATGTATCCTTACACCGGATGTCTAGGTTCACCCATCAGTAAAATGGGTACCTGGGTGTTAGTGGACTGGTGTGGGTCGCATCCTCGGACAAAACTGACCTAATTTGCCTGAAATACTCTGCATGACAAGTGGCTTTCTATATAGTAGTATATCACTGATGTCAGCTATGGTCTGTATACCTTGTATATGTAGAAATAAAGATATTATTATTATTATTCAAATCTTTTTGATTATAATAATAATTATTATTCAAAACATTTTGCCATGAGTGGCTTCGTCAGTCCTAATGCAGAGTAAACTAAAACAGCATGTTATATAATGGAGAGGGTGAGGCGAGGCAGGAGGTGAGTCAAATTGTAGCCTCGCCTCTCTCTCTCTCACTACTGGCCACCTGTTTCATCCACTTCATAACACCCTGTTTGACCTTCCTCTGTATTAGAGCTGATGAAGCCACACATAGTGAAATGTTTCATATAATGAATGTCCTGAACGGTACATCACTGTCTTTATCCACAGCTTGCATGTATCACTGGGATATTTACAAGTACAGTATTATTATTTTTTTTTGTATACAGTACCTATCTATTAAATCATTATTACATACCTAAAAATGTATGTTTGTATCATAAATTGTACTGCCTCATATTAATAATAGAGTAAAATGTTGAATATTAGAAATTTACCACTCTTTACATTTTTAAACTTAAGTAGTCTTTAAGTATTAGGTTAAGTCTGCCCAAAATGCCCCAGCATGATAGTGGTTTTCTTTGTACCAATCAAATTATGAAATGTAAACACATTGTAACCTTTGCAAAGAAATAAACTTTTGTTTTATTTTGTACAGATATATATACAAAAACGTGTTTGTCTAGAAAATCCAGAAGCCCTTCAAAGTCTGTCATACTCTCATATCTTCTGTATAATGTGTGTAATAAATAGGAGGTCCAGTGACATTATTATGTAGTTTGATTTTTTTTTTCAGATGCAAAAATGTTGCTTCAGTGTATGGGCAAAAATAACCAGCATTGGATAAAGTTTTGGCTACAGTCCACAAATTTTCAGTTGAGAATACATAATTGCAAAATTGCAAACTTAAGTATTAGCAATCTTTGTAATTTTATGATGAAACATAATTTAAGTAATGGAAAAGGTTTTGTTTATGATACTAAAATTAATCATGCTCAAAGATCATTTCATAGGTTAACTGTGAACCCTTACCTTTCTTTAACTGTAAATAAAACGTATCCATTACAAAGAATGCATACGAGCATATTCTGTCTCGGTAAGAACATAGATAAATCAAGAGTACCAATACTGAATGAAGAAGATTTGGAAGAAAGCTTTGTGAGAGGGAGTGGACCAGGTGGACAGTCCGTTAATAAGACATCAAGTGCTTGTGTGATCAAACACATACCTACAGGTGAGATATTAAATTTTGGTTTAAGCATGTTTATACACAGTATAGTGGATCACCACCTTTTGTGTGAGTTGTTCCTGAAAATGGAGCTGGATGTGAAATTGCTATGTGAAGAACTTATAGAAAAGAACTTATAGAAAGAACTTATAGAAAAAATTAGGTTATGTTTCATGACACTGAAAAAAGACAAACATTTCATTTTTATTTGTTCATCAGCTGAAATAATAAAATACATTAAAACCTCTCATTAACGAATTTCAACAATTTTGAAGAAAAAACTATCCGGACAAACATTGGAAACATTGGACAAAATGGAAAAAAACTGTAATTCCAGATGTTGTTCGTGTATTAATGATGATTTGTAAAACTTTTTTATCTTTGTTAATTTTTTACCAAATACATTCATACTTTGTGTATGTACTTTGCATGCATGTATAAAGAGCTTACATTTATTTGGTAAAGAATGGTGAAGAACTATAGACATCATTGACATTGTGTTAGCTGTGAGGGGTTGTCAAGTGGGGTAGGGTACAGGAGGGTGGGTGGGTGGTTGATTTTGTATCAGTGCATTTGTACTTTGTGTATGCACTTTGTTTGCATGTATGAAGAACTATAGATTTATTATTTGTGTTGTGTTAGCTCATGACTGATTGTTAGGTGGGTAGGTGGATAGCCCCTGAGCCAATGAGGGAGGCCCCAGCCCTGGCAGACAGGGAAGGAAAGGATGGGGGTGTTGGCTGAGAGCCAAGAAGGGATGCCCAGACCAGTGGCTGTGTGCCTTCACTGCCTCCCTCCCTGCCTCTCCATCCCTCACTGATTCACTGCCTCTCTCTCTGCATGTATAGAGAGTCCCCCCTTTTTGTATAAAAATTATCGAAGATCTGTACTGTAGATTTATTATTTACTTTGTGTCAGTGCTTGGGTAACAGGAGAGATTGGGTGGAGAGTTAATGTTTGCAAGGCAGGGAGGTGGGTGGGTGCGTGTGGGAATCCAGGGGAAAAGTTCCTGTCAGTATGTTCATTCTGCATCTGAGGCACAGCACCCTTTATCTGTTTCCCAACTTTCGTGCACCACAGTGCACTCACACCTGCTCACTTCTCACACCCACCCACCCTCTTACGTTCACCCCTCTCACATTTACCCTCACACCAACCCACCCTCTCACTCACCTGCACACCCTCCCACCCACCCTCTCACATTCATTTGCACACCTACCATCCTCTCACATTCATCCATCGAAACACTCACCAACCCTCTTGTGATAAATGCCTCTTTCAGTTGAGTGTTGGGACTTGCTGACCTAAGATCTTTTGATGATGTAAACAAGAATCAATACTTTTCTAGACCTTATTATGAGATCACCCACATTAATCAGTTTGGGTTACAGAAAGGTCATTGACCTCTTGTTGACCATGTGTAATTCGAGGAAATAGGAGAATGAAGAGAAGTTAGAAAGGGCTGGAACCAGAGACTGGGGCCACCCTTAGCTGTGTTGTGTGGAGGCAAAAGAAAGAGGGTCTTTGATGGTGGTAGTGAAAACTTTTGGTGTGAAGTAAAAAGATAGATACCCAGAAGCTGATGGTGGAGTGTTTCATCAGTTAGAGAATTTATATTACCTTGTAAATACATTTCTCTGTATGAAGTTCTCTATTCACGCTACTCTAATATGTTCACTCTAGTTTGCTGAATTCTCAAGAGCCTAACACTCAAAACCTCCTTAACCCCCTCTCTCTTCAGCCCTTCCTGTGATGACTTGTACCCTTTTTCCTTCCACCCTTTATTTATACACCCTCTTGGACATCTTTTTCTGCTTTATCTTCTCTGAATGCGTACATCACTTCAACAACCCTTTCTCAGCCTTTGGAATAATACCTTTAGTAATTCCACTACTAATTTCTACACATTGAACTCTGTGCATAATATTCACATCACACATATTTCTCTCCAGCATGGCATCTCCACTACCTCCAGTGGTACATATCCTTTAATCTCCATAGATAAAGTGTTTTCCACAGAAGCCTCGACATGCTGCCTCCCATTTTTTCTTAGTCTGCTGATATAACCACTCCAAATATCTGAATACATTCACTTGCTCAATACACCTTCACTTCATTCTGACATATAATCTTTCACTGCCTATACTTTTTATTACTCTCATTATCTTGCTTTTTTCTATGTGTACTTTTAATTTCCTTCTTTTACATACCCTCCAAAATTCTTCCATCAGCCTTGGGAATTTCTCTTTAGAATCTCCCACAAGCACTGTCTTCTGCAAAGAGCAAGTGTGACAACTCTGACTTTATGTCAGATTTTTTAATCTCTTAATCCCACACCTTTCCCCAACACACTAACATTCACTTCTTTTACAACCACATTTATAAATATGTTGAACAACCATTGTGACATCACACATCCCTGCCTAAGACCTACTTTTACTGGAAAATGATCTATCTCCTGCATACTCTGACTTGAGCCACACTGTCTGCATAAAAACTCTTTACTGCTTTTAATAGCCCACTTCCTATTTCATACACTTGTCACATTGTTAGCCTGTACACCCTGTCATATGTCTTTTCTAAATCCATAAATGCAACAAATAGTTCCTCACCTTTTACTAAGTATTATTCCCTTATGTGCTCCAATGTAGATGCTGGGTCTGCACATCCCCAAACTCTTCCTAAAACCTTCATGTTCCTCAGCAATCCTACTGTCTGTCTTACCCCTAATTCTTTTAGTAATGCATATATAATTTTACCATACAGTTTACTGGGTATACTCAACAAGCTTATTTCCCTATAATTTTTAGTTTCTTGTCCCATTTTCTTTTATATAAACAAATAAAACTTGTCATCATAGGCATCCTGCAGGGCACCTACAGTGACAGGTCTGCTTTTCCTCATATACTACATTAGGGGGAGGTTGAAGAGGGTTGGAATAGTTTTAAAAATGCAGTATTAGAATGTGGGGCAGAAGTTTATGGTTATAGGAGGGTGGGGGGCAGGAGGAAAGAGGAGTGATGGGTGGAATGATGAAGTAAAGGGTGTGATAAAAGAGAAAAAGTTAGCTTACGAGAGGTATTTACAAACCAGAAGTGTTATAAGAAGAGTAGAGTATATGGAGAGTAAAAGAAAGGTGAAGAGAGTGGTGAGAGAGTGCAGAAGGAGAGCAGATGATAGAGTGGGAGAGGCACTGTCAAGAAATTTTAATGAAAATAAGAAAAAATTTTGGAGTGAGTTAAACAAGTTAAGAAAGCCTAGGGAATGAATGAATTTGTCAGTTAAAAACAGAGTAGGGGAGTTAGTAGATGGGGAGATGGAGGTATTGGGTAGATGGCGAGAATATTTTGAGGAACTTTTAAATGTCGATGAAGAAAGGGAGGCGGTAATTTCATGCACTGGCCAGGGAGGTATACCATCTTTTAGGAGTGAAGAAGAGTAGGATGTGAGTGTGGGGGAGGTGCGTGAGGCATTACGTAGAATGAAAGGGAGTAAAGCAGCTGGAACTGACGGGATCATGACAGAAATGTTAAAAGCAGGGGGAGACATAGTGTTGGAGTGGTTGGTATTTTTGTTTAATAAATGTATGAAAGAGGGGAAGGTACCTAGGGATTGGCGGAGAGCGTGTATATTCCCTTTATATAAAGGGAAGGGTTACGGTAGGGTTATAATTGAAAGAATTATAGGTAAGACAGAATTTAGGATTGCGGATGAGCAAGGAGGTTTCAGAGTGGGTAGAGGATGTGTAGATCAAGTGTTTACATTGAAGCATATATGTGAACAGTATTTAGGTAAAGGTAGGGAAGTTTTTATTGCATTTATGGATTTAGAAAAGGCATATGATAGAGTGGATAGAGGAGCAATGTGGCAGATGTTGCAAGTATATGGAATAGGTGGTAAGTTATTAAATGCTGTAAAGAGTTTTTATGAGGATAGTGAGGCTCAGGTTAGGGTGTGTAGAAGAGAGGGAGAATACTTCCCGGTAAAAGTAGATCTTAGACAGGGATGTGTAATGTCACCATGGTTGTTTATATATTTATAGATGGGGTTGTAAAAGAAGTAAATGCTAGGGTGTTCAGGAGAGGGGTGGGATTAAATTATGGGGAATTAAATACAAAATGGGAAGTGACACAGTTTTTGCTGATGATACTGTACTTATGGGAGATTCTAAAGAAAAATTACAAAGGTTAGTGGACGAATTTGGGAGTGTGTGTAAAGGTAGAAAGTTGAAAGTGAACATAGAAAAGAGTAAGGTGATGAGGGTATCAAATGATTTAAATAAAGAAAAATTGGATATCAAATTGGGGAGGAGGCGTATGGAAGAAGTGAATGTTTTCAGATATTTGGGAGTTGACGTGTCAGTGGATGGATTTATGAAGGATGAGGTTAATCATAGAATTGATGAAGGAAAAAAGGTGAGTGGTGCATTGAGGTATATGTGGAGGCAAGAAATGTTATCTATGGAGGCAAAGATGGGAATGTATGAAAGTATAATAGTACCAACACTCTTATATGGGTGTGAAGCTTGGGTTGTAAATGCTGCAGCGAGGAGGTGGTTGGAGGCAGTGGAGATGTCCTGTCTAAAGGAAATGTGTGGTGTAAATATTATGCAGAAAATTCGGAGTGTGGAACTTAGGAGAAGGTGTGGAGTTAATAAAAGTATTAGAGGGCTGAAGAGGGTTTGTTGAGGTGGTTTGGTCATTTAGAGAGAATGGATCAAAGTAGAATGACATGGAGAGCGTATAAATCTGTAGGGAAAGGAAGGCGGGGTAGGGGTCGTCCTCGAAAAGGTTGGAGGGAGGGGGTAAAGGAGGTGTTGTGGGCGAGGGATTTGGACTTCCAGCAAGCGTGCATGAGCGTGTTAGATAGGAGTGAATGGAGACGAATGGTATTCGGGACCTGACGAGCTGTTGGAGTGTGAGCAGGATAATATTTAGTGAAGGGATTCAGGGAAATCAGTTATTTTATATAACCGGACTTGAGTCCTGGAAATGGGAAGTACAGTGCCTGCACTCTAAAGGAGGGGTTAGGGATATTGGCAGTTTGGAGGGATATATTGTGTATTTTTATACGTATATACTTCTAAGCTGTTGTATTCTGGGCACCTCTGCAAAAACAGTGATTATATGTAAGTGAGGTGAAAGTGTTGAATGATGATGAAAGTATTTTCTTTTTGGGGATTTTTTTTGTCTTTTTGGGTCACCCTGCCTCGATGGGAGACGGCCGACTTGTTGAAAAAAAAAAAAAAATCAGTCTGTTTTTCCTCATATACATCAGGTCTGTTTTTCCTTATATACATCAGGTCTGCTGTTCCTCATATATATTAGGTCTGCTTTTCCTTATATACATCAGTAACCTTTTAAATGTATCTCAGCACCTTAGACCTGTTCTCTTTGCAGATGACACAGCTTTTGTCATCTCCCACCTTAATCTGAATTCCCTCAGCAACACTATTAAAGGAGAACTCTTAAAGATATCAACCTAGACATCTACCAATAAATTCATGTTTAACATTGCTAAAACTTTCTACATGATGTTTGGGAACAGAGTAACAAATGTCCAATTAAACATTATGATTACAAAAAAGTATGCATATCAGTTGGCATCCTCTCCAAGATACATTACTATGTACCTCACACAGCACTAATTATATAATACTACAGTACTCTCTAATCTATCCCTACCTCACCTATGCTATTTGTGCCTGAGAATCCTCCGCAGCAAATCATCTTAGGGCAGTAATAACAACAAAAAACAGCATATGACTGTGCACCCAGTCTATTACTAAACAACACACTCCCCTACTCTTCAGAAATCTAAACCTACTTAATATACAAAAAGTTCACTTATACTACTATTCATATTACACAGGGCAAAAAATTCTAATATCAGTCCTGCCCTGCAACTTTTGATAGTTGCAACAGAACCCATAGGCATAATACTACACGCTAAAATCTCTATGATATTCCCTGTGTCTGGCTTAATCTTTGCAAAAGTTCAGTATGTATAAAAGGGTCTAAAATCTGAAACTCTCAGTCTCTCTCTGCTAGCTGCTTCAAAGCTTCTGTTAATAAACTCCTTATCCTAACATGATCCTAACAATAATTATGCAAAACAATTCCTTCAACCTGTACTATCCCTGTCCTTGTCTATCATTCCTTCATCTCATGTTCTTAGCTTCATTCCTAATTTATCACTAATTATAATTTTTGATTGAATTACTAAATGCCTCCAATATTTTAAAAACTTTTTTTACAGCCTCTCCTCACTTAACAACAGAGTTCTGTTCCTAAGACCATGTCTGTAAATAAATTTGTCGCTAAGCAAGGAGCATGCTATAATGGTAGTAGGTTTGTGTCAACCATCTTTTATATTTTTTAATGTCACCTTTGCACTACATATTTATAACATTTTCAGTATATTTTAAAATGTTTATATAGTAGTGTACTGTATATTGTAATAAACATAATAGAGGAAAATCAGCTCTAATATACATTATTTGGGTATGCACTGGTCAGAGAGCCCATCATAAGTCTGAGTCGTCGGTAAACGAGTACATCGGTAAGTGAGGAGAGGCTGTATTCTTACTCTCATATACTTGTAATGATAATTTAGTTTTAAGGCTGCCTGAAACTCTTTCCACACCAAGGGGTTTCTGTAAAGTAGTTATATACATATGTTAATCACCCAGTTGTATAATATACTGTACTCCACTTTACAGAAGTAAAGTTTGTTTTGCTTTCACTTGCCCCTTCCCCACAGCTTTGAGCCCACATGACTCCACTCCTACATCTTACCCATGCTTTCACTCACACCACTTCCCTACAGCTTCAAACTCACACCTTACCCAGGTTTTTACAGCCCACACACCTAATCACATAGCCACCCACCACACTTATTACTGCCCACTCAACCACACACCAGCCCACCACACCCACACTGGGCCACTGACTCTGCCACCCACATGGTCACAATCACAGTGCCTCATTGCTTCCACCCCCACCGCCCCACCCGTCTGCCACCCAGCATCCTCATTATTATTATTATAATCAAGGGGAAGCGCTAAACCCGGAGGATTATACAGCACCTGGGGGGGGGGGATGTGGAAGGCATTCAGGCTTAATTCGGGGAACTGGAGCACAGATCCAATTCCCTAAATCAAGAGCCCCCTCACCAACATCAAGGAACCTTCCTTGAGGGGCCAGCATCCTCAGCCTTCATAACTGTAGCCCTCCAATCCCCACTATACGGTCCCCCCACACTGAAGCTGCTCACCTTAACCGCTATAACCCCTCCTATGTACACCCCAACTACTCTAACCCCTCCTTTATAACTCCCATACAGTTGCAATGAGTAGGACAACCAAATAATAAGGCACCTCTGTCTGCTAGCAGAGATATGGTTGCAGGATCTTTGACTGATGCATATCACCACATCAACCTACAAATACATTATCTTTTTTTTATAATTTTGAAACTAAAAAAAATTTGTTTGCTTTTTTTTTTAGGGGGGGGGGAAGGAGTGTATTTAACATAACCCTATTTTTGTATATGTTCTTCAGTTCATTTTACAGGCATTGTTTATTACATGCCATTTTCAAGAACCTTGTCATCAATCAATCAATCAAGTTTATTCTCTATAAGGATTACAATGCGAGGTTTACAGATTTTGGATATTGTGTGGTTTACATGTTTTAAAATACTAATTACAGAGGGGGCCACTAGGACGCCTAGCATGGCTAGGCATTTCGGGCAGACTTAAATTAATTCTTAACTTTAAATTATTACAGATTATGGTATTAAGGCTAAGTGACTATATTATAGTTTGTGAGTTTAGCAATGTGAATGCTTTTGTTTTGGCACAATATAGAGTGTCTATATTGGAGTATCATAGGCAAACTTATGACTAGTTAGGATTCATTATTTTAAGATTAAGATTCGTATTTGTTTATAGTCAGTTTGTGAGTGAGTGTAAGCGTGAACCACCAGGTAGTTTTCATGTAGTTAGTTGACGGGGTGTATCAGGGAGATAAGATGTTTTCTAACTGCAGTTTTGAAAATGATGAATGTGTCTGCAGTTCTAGAGTTTTCATCTGATTTTCAACTGTATTAACTTATTGCACATACAGTATTAGTAAAGTGTTATTATTATATTCACAGAGAAGTGCTGTTCTTGTAGGATTCATGTACCACCTGTGGGTAATTAGAGTCAGTGTAAGGAATGGAAGGGTAGCTCCATTTCCTTCAAGGCCTTCCCTTTTCATGGAAGTCAAAAGGATGGTGGGGATGGGGAAAGAGTAGGAAATGTTGAGTGGAGGACTTTACCTGAAAGCATGATGATCATATTTTATATAGTAAACCAGTATTATTAAGAAAATCAAGAGTCTGCAACAAAGGTGAGAATAAGTAAAAAGGACAGGGGAAGTAAGTATGTCAGGGCATTGAAGAAGGCATCTGAAATGAAGTTAGCATTCTCCTTTAGAGAATACAGTACTCATTAAGTTCATGTCTACCCTTCTCTGATGGTCTTGCTTTTAATACAGATTCTCTTGGTTCCTCACTTGATACCAATTTGCTATATCACCTGTCCTCTCCTTTCTTCTCTTCTAAGGTTCTATCTTTTATGCCTTTACCCCTCTCTTTTTTTTTAACTCTCTCACCCCTGTCACAGTCCTGAGTGACCCCATTCAGGCTTAGCATTTTCCTTGACTAATAATATATTACATTAAGACCATGTTAAATATTGAAGAGGTGTTATGAATAAGTGATTAATTGTTTCAGGTTTTGTTGTTAAGTGCCACGAACAGCGAAGTTTGCAAAGAAATCGAGTGAGGGCTCGTCAGCTGATGATCAACAAATTGGATATTCATTTTAATGGAGAAATGAGTGTAGAAGCTCAGCACAAGAGAATCCAGGATGTAAAAAATTCCAAAGCACTCAAAAAATCACTGAAACGAGAAAGTATGAAAAAGGCTTGGAAAGAAAGAGAAGGTATCGAATAAACATTAAATTAGTAGAAACTAAATACTGTACTGTAGAGAGCTGGGCTTATTTACTCTTCAAGGGAAAGGTGTCTTGAAGCTGGTGAAGAGTTAAAGATCTAAGAAAGTGAACATACTCTTCCCTTCCTTTAGTGCTCACTTTCAGTGTAGGTAGTAGGTTCATAGACAGCAACCACCCAGGGAAGTACTACCATCCTGCCAGATGACTGTGAAACAGAAACCTGTAACTGTTTTGCATGATGGTAGGATTGCTGGTTTCTTTTTCTGTCTCATAAACACGCTAGATAACAGGGATATCTTGCTACTCCTACTTGCACTTTGGTCACACTTCACAGACACACACATGCATATATATATACATACATCTAGGTTTTTCTCCTTTTTCTAAATAGCTCTTGTTCTTCTTTATTTCTTCTATTGTCCATGGGGAAGTGGAAAAGAATCTTTCCTCCGTAAGCCATACGTGTCGTATGAGGTGACTAAAATGCCGGGAGCAATGGGCTAGTAACCCCTTCTCCTGTAGACATTTACTAAAAAAGAGAAGAAGAAAAACTTTATAAAACTGGGATGCTTGAATGTGCGTGGATGTAGTGCGGATGACAAGAAACAGATGATTGCTGATGTTATGAATGAAAAGAAGTTGGATGTCCTGGCCCTAAGCGAAACAAAGCTGAAGGGGGTAGGGGAGTTTCGGTGGGGGGAAATAAATGGGATTAAATCTGGAGTATCTGAGAGAGTTAGAGCAAAGGAAGGGGTAGCAGTAATGTTGAAGGATCAGTTATGGAAGGAGAAAAGGGAATATGAATGTGTAAATTCAAGAATTATGTGGATTAAAGTAAAGGTTGGATGCGAAAAGTGGGTCATAATAAGCGTGTATGCACCTGGAGAAGAGAGGAATGTAGAGGAGAGAGAGAGATTTTGGGAGATGTTAAGTGAATGTATAGGAGCCTTTGAACCAAGTGAGAGAGTAATTGTGGTAGGGGACCTGAATGCTAAAGTAGGAGAAACTTTTAGAGAGGGTGTGGTAGGTAAGTTTGGGGTGCCAGGTGTAAATGAAAATGGGAGCCCTTTGATTGAGCTTTGTATAGAAAGGGGTTTAGTTATAGGTAATACATATTTTAAGAAATAGAGGGGCCACAGATATATCAGATCACTTTCTAGTTGTAGCTACACTGAGAGTAAAAGGTAGATGGGATACAAGGAGAATAGAAGCATCAAGGAAGAGAGAAGTGAAGGTTTATAAACTAAAAGAGGAGGCAGTTAGGGTAAGATATAAACAGCTATTGGAGGATAGATGGGCTAATGAGAGCATAGGCAATGGGGTCGAAGAGGTATGGGGTAGGTTTAAAAATGTAGTGTTGGAGTGTTCAGCAGAAGTTTGTGGTTACAGGAAGGTGGGTGCGGGAGGGAAGAGGAGCGATTGGTGGAATGATGATGTAAAGAGAGTAGTAAGGGAGAAAAAGTTAGCATATGAGAAGTTTTTACAAAGTAGAAGTGATGCAAGGAGGCAAGAGTATATGGAGAAAAAGAGAGAGGTTAAGAGAGTGGTGAAGCAATGTAAAAAGAGAGCAAATGAGAGAGTGGGTGAGATGTTATCAACAAATTTTGTTGAAAATAAGAAAAAGTTTTGGAGTGAGATTAACAAGTTAAGGAAGCCTAGTGAACAAATGGATTTGTCAGTTAAAAATAGGAGAGGAGAGTTATTAAGTGGAGAGTTAGAGGTATTGGGAAGATGGAGGGAATATTTTGAGGAATTGTTAAATGTTGATGAAGATAGGGAAGCTGTGATTTCGTGTATAGGGCAAGGAGGAATAACATCTTGTAGGAGTGAGGAAGAGCCAGTTGTGAGTGTGGGAGAAGTTCGTGAGGCAGTAGGTAAAATGAAAGGGGGTAAGGCAGCCGGGATTGATGGGATAAAGATAGAAATGTTAAAAGCAGGTGGGGATATAGTTTTGGAGTGGTTGGTGCAATTATTTAATAAATGTATGGAAGAAGGTAAGGTACCTATGGATTGGCAGAGAGCATGCATAGTTCCTTTGTATAAAGGCAAAGGGGACAAAAGAGAGTGCAAAAATTATAGGGGGATAAGTTTGTTGAGTATACCTGGTAAAGTGTATGGTAGAGTTATTATTGAAAGAATTAAGAGTAAGATGGAGAATAGGATAGCAGATGAACAAGGAGGCTTTAGGAAGGTAGGGGGTGTGTGGACCAGGTGTTTACAGTGAAACACATAAGTGAACAGTATTTGGATAAGGCTAAAGAGGTCTTTGTGGCATTTATGGATTTGGAAAAGGTGTATGACAGGGTGGATAGGGGGGCAATGTGGCAGATGTTGCAGGTGTATGGTGTAGGAGGCAGGTTACTGAAAGCAGTGAAGAGTTTTTACGAGGATAGGGAGGCTTAAGTTAGAGTATGTAGGAAAGAGGGAAATTATTTCCCAGTAAAAGTAGGCCTTAGACAAGGATGTGTGATGTCACCGTGGTTGTTTAATATATTTATAGATGGGGTTGTAAGAGAAGTAAATGCGAGGGTCTTGGCAAGAGGCGTGGAGTTAAAAGATAAAGAATCACACATAAAGTGGGAGTTGTCACAGTTGCTCTTTGCTGATGACACTGTGCTCTTGGGAGATTCTGAAGAGAAGTTGCAGAGATTGGTGGATGAATTTGGTAGGGTATGCAAAAGAAGAAAATTAAAAGTGAATACAGGAAAGAGTAAGGTTATGAGGATAACAAAAAGATTAGGTGATGAAAGATTGGATATCAGATTGGAAGGAGAGAGTATGGAGGAGGTGAATGTATTCAGATATTTGGGAGTGGATGTGTCAGCGGATGGGTCTATAAAAGATGAGGTGAATCATAGAATTGATGAGGTTTTGTGTGCGAGGGGCTTGGACTTCCAGCAGGCATGCGTGAGCGTGTTTGATAGGAGTGAATGGAGACAAATGGTTTTTAATACTTGACCTATTGGAGTGTGAGCAAAGTAACATTTATGAAGGGGTTCAGGGAAACCGGCAGGCCGGACTTGAGTCCTGGAGATGGGAAGTACAGTGCCTGCACTCTGAAGGAGGGGTGTTAATGTTGCAGTTTAAAAACTGTAATGTAAAGCACCCTTCTGGCAAGACAATGATGGAGTGAATGATGGTGAAAGTTTTTCTTTTTCAGGCCACCCTGCCTTGGTGGGAATCGGCCAGTGTGATAATAAAAAATAAAATAAATTTCAGTGTAATAATAATATGCATGCAAACCCTTGTAATTTCTTCAGTGAAAGTATTGTAAACTGTTGATTAATTTGGCCTTTAACAATAAAAACAATTCCTTTCAAAGAGGGAAGATACACTGATACTGAAGAATGGCTCTTGACCTAAGGAATTAGAGATGCCTTCTCCTTCCTTGGATCAAGCCAGATTACCTTCCAGTCCTTAGGTGCTGTATGACCATTGTGAATTTAGTGTTTTTCCATGAATATAATATGAAGTCATTTGGTTAATTACACACTCATATGGGTTTGAGATCTAGTCTTTAAACATTGCAGTGAGGAATTCGCTAGAATCATTTGAGATGATGATAATAATAATAATAATAATCTTTATTTTCTACAAGTACATATACAAGGTATACAGGCCTAGCTGACATCAATGACATACTTCTATATAGAAAACCCCTTGTTATGCAGAGCATTTCAGGCAAATGAGGTCAGTTGTGTCCTGGGATGCGACTCACACCAGTCGACTAACACCCAGGTACCCATTTTACTGATGGGTGAACATTGGACAGTAGTTGACTTATGGAAACATGCCCTAATGTCTTCCAGCTGTACTAGGGTATTGATGCCCGGACCACAGTGTGTGAGCTGAGTGTGCTAGTGAGCAAGCTACGGGTCATGTTTGAGACTATCGTATTTTGTGAATATGCTGAAAATGAAGAACAGAAATTAGAAGACTATGTGGGTATAAAAAGTATTATTCAGAGGGTGTAGGAGGGGTTGTTGAGATGGTTTGATCATTTTAAAAAATGGAGAATAGGTTGACCAAGAGGGTACATATTTCTTGGGTGGATGGAAGAATAGATATAGGTCATCCCAAAAAGGGCGAATATTAGGGGCATGCACATGTGAACATAGCAGATCTGAGTTAAGGGTTCTTAATCTGAATAACTGAATTCATCTTTTTCCTTGGATTGAACCTGAATGCCTCTGACAGACTAGGCAGAACGTGATTCTTGCGGGTTTATTAAAATATCCATAATTAAAGTAAAATAAATCATAGGTTTCTTGATGGTGGAGAAGCTCTTACTTTTAGGATTTTGAAATGTATTCTCTTTTCTTATTCAAACTTGAGTGCCTCTCATTTCCCAGACACTATATGACCCCCTATGAGTTTAGCCCTTTCTCCTAAAAATATATACTATTTTTAATTAGAGAAGCACTCCTGAAAATTGGGAGGCATTCAGGTTTGATCCCAGGAGCAACTAAGATCTGTTTCTTGACTGAAGAGCCCCTCACCAGCATTAAATTAAGACACCTTTCCTGATTGGAGTGAGTGTAAACAAGTGATTTTGGGATTTGAGATGCTCTCATCTCCAGTCTTGAGGTGGGAAGTGCAGTGCCTGCATTCTGCAGGACATGTGGCAATGTTCCAATTCAGAGGGTCATTTGTATTGTGATGTCCATGTATTTCTAGAAAGACACTCATGAAAGTGATGGTGCATGTGGTTCCTCATTTGAGTAACTGTTTTAATGGGGAAATGACCAATGTAAAAAGAAAATCACTTGAGGACTGGTAATTCTAAACATCATAATAATTACAGCCTGAGTGTTCACTTTTGGCAAGGTTTAAAATAAATTAAAAAATTATACAAAGTTCTTTTCATGCAGCTATTTAATAAATTTTGTATTAACTTCATACATACAAAAGTAAATATGTTGCCAGATAGTCATAATTTTTTTTGTTATAGGCAGCTGAAATTGGATCTCAAGAAATTGAACATAACAGTTAACGGTGGTTATCACTAGAGGTGTTAAACATAGCTGTTTACAGTGGTGATCATTAGAGTTGTTGAACAAAACTGTTGTCAGTAGTAATCTTTAGAAATATTGAACATAACAGACAACAATGGTAATTGTTAGAGATGAACATATTAACAGTGGCAATCATTAGAGGTGCTGAACATAACAATTAACAGTGGTATTCATTAAACCCCTTCACAGGGCAATCTTGAAAATATGAGATTTTCGAAATGTATTTCCTATGAGTGGATAGAGTAGCTCAATGTCAGATAAATAACCCCATATAAATGGAATTGTGAAAGTTACTTGTCACTACACTTCCTTTCTTTGGGTCAAACCAGATTACTGTTTTCCCTTGAATATTGCTGTAGCCAGAACTCTGGTTTACCCACATGTTTTCCAGTAGTATTAACAACAGAGGCTTTAGTATGATTAAAAATTTTAAATTAAAATTAGAGTAGACCATCGATTAACACCCAATCCTCTAACATGCTTTCTATAGTATTTTTTTGTTTTCAACAAGTTGGCTGTTTCCCACCGAGGCAGGGTGACCCAAAAAGAAAGAAAATCCCCAAAAAGAAAATACTTTCATCATCATTCAACACTTTCACCTCACTCACACATAATCACTGTTTTTGCAGAGGTGCTCAGAACACAACAGTTTAGAAGTATGTACGTATAAAGATACACAACATATCCCTCCAAACTGCTAATATCCCGAACCCCTCCTTTAGAGTGCAGGCATTGTACTTCCCATTTCCAGGACTCAAGTCCGGCTATATAAAAATAACCAGTTTCCCTGAATCCCTTCACTAAATATTACCCTGCTCACACTCCAACAGATCGTCAGGCCCCAAATACCATTCGTCTCCATTCACTCCTATCGAACACGCTCATGCACGCCTGCTGGAAGCCCAAGCCCCTCACCCACAAAACCTCCCTTACCCCTGCCTTCCAACCTTTTCGAGGACGACCCCTACCCCGCCTTCCTTCTCCTACAGATTTAAATGCTCTCCATGTCATTCTACTCTGATCCATTCTCTCTAAATGACCAAACCACCTCAACAACCCCTCATCAGCCCTCTGACTAATACTTTTATATGCTGTTGCAAAATTGTGGCATATTTTTGATGATCATACTGTGAAATTCATCTAGCACGGTGCAACTTTTAGGTAAAAATAGATATTATCCTGCACAAAAGGCTAGTAACTGCTGATTTCACTATAACTGCACATTGCTATGCCATTAACAGTCATTCAGTTGCTCTAGCTGTATTTACACAAATGTTGAATGTGTTATTGATAGATAAAGTGTGGAAAGTAAACAAAAAGTGAAGGAATAATCTTGTGGCACTACCATAATAAATGGATGAAATTCTGAAGGGCCACCACAGTATGTATACACTGTTTACTAATAAATTGTCACCAGGGGTCTCAGAATAACTAACAAACAGATGTGATTAAATTAGTTGATTCCTGCACACCAGTCAATACATGTAGTGTTCATATCCTCAGCGTCATGTACTACAATGTGAGGATGCCGGACACAATGTTATATACAAATTGAGTTCTCATGAACTACACTTGTCCATGAGAGTGACTCCCCCAGTGTTTATATACTCTCTGCTTATCTTCCTTTGCATAATAAAGGTTAAAAAGTGAAAGGAACCTGGATATAATGTGTATCCAGTACCTGCTTCATATACATTTGTGCATTAGTTTAATTGGTGCACTGGTATAATATTTTTTTTTTTATTAACACATCGGCTGTTTCCCACCAAGGCAGGGTGGCCCAAAAAAGAAAAACTTTCATCATTCACTCCAACACTGTCTTGCCAGAGGCATGCTTACACTACAGTTATAAAACTGCAACATTAACACCCCTCCATCAGAGTGCCGGCACTGTACTTCCCATCTCCTGGAATCAAGTCCAGCCTACGAGTTTCCCTGAATCCCTTCATAAATGTTACCTTGCTTATACTCCAACAGCATGTCAAGTCCTAAAAACCATTTGTCTCCATTCGCTCCTCTCTAACATGCTTACACATGCTTGCTGGATGTCCAAGCCCCTCACACACAAAACCTCCTTTACCCCCTCCCTCCAACCTTTCCTAGGCAGACCCCTACCTGCCTTCCCTCCACTACAGATTTTTCCACTCTTGAAGTCATTCTATTTCATTCCACCCTCTCTACATGTCCAAACCATCTCAAAAATCCCTCCTCAGCTCTCTGGATAATATTTTGGTAATCCCACACCTCCTAATCTCCAAATTATGGATTCTCTGCATTATATTCACACCACACATTACCCTCAGACATGGCATCTCCACTGCCTCCAGCCTTCTCCTTGTTGCAACATTCACAACCCATGCCTCACATCTATACCAGAGCCTTGGTATAACCATACTCTCATACATTCTCCTCTTTGCTTTCATGGATAAAATTCTTTGCCTCCACAGACTCTTCAGTGGTCCACTGAGGAGTCTGTGGTGCAATGAGTATAATAATAATAATAATGTTTATTTTGACATGATACATTGTTGTACAAAGGAATGTAATAGTTGGGTGTGCATGCCAAAAGCCCCTCTGTATGCAGAGCATTTTGGGCAATAAACTAACTACAATGTATATGAGGATTTGTTGTTGTCAGTGGTAGTGTTATTTACTGTCAAACCATTGATCTACATTTTACTGCTAGCATTTTGAATATTTTGAAGTTAGGGCCAGTACTTACCGAGATATAAGGTAGCAAAGTTGGCACTAGATGCTTATGTGATGGCAACATGAAGTCCTGCAGCTTGCAGACATGCTGCCAGTATACCTTTTTTTTTTTCTCTCTCTTTTTTTAATTTACATAATTTTTATGTTTTGATAATTGCAGTTTATAGTAGCTCTTGTGGTTTTGTAGCCAATATTTGTTCTGACACTAATATTAGGTATGGAAATAGTAATCAAACAGTCACAAACACAATGAAGGAGAAAGATCTTGGGATGAGTATAATACCGAGCACATCTCCAGAAGCACACATCAACCAGATAACTGCTGCAGCAGATGGGTGTCTGGCAAACCTGATACCTCAGTAAGGAATTGTTCAAGACTCTGTTACAACACCATGTATGTCAGGCCCATACTGGAGTATGCAGTGCCAGTTTGGAACCCACACCTGGTCAAGCACATCAAGAAATTAGATAAAGTGCAAAAGTTTGCAACAAGGCTAGTTCCAGAGCTAAGGGAAATGTCCTACAAAGAAAGGTTAAGGAAAATCGGTCTGACAATACTGGAGGACAGGAGGGTTAAGGGAGACAATAACGACATACAAAATACTGCAAGGAATAGATAAGGTGGACAGAGACAGGATGTTCCAGAGAGAGGGGACACACACAAGGGGTCACAATTGGAAGTTGAAGACAGATGAATCAAAGGGATGTTAGGAAGTATTTCTTCAGTCAGAGTTGTCAGGAAGTGGAATAGTCTTGCAAGTGATGTAGTGGAAGCAGGAACCATGCATAGTTTTAAGACGAGGTATGATAAAGCTCATGGAGCAGGGAGAGAGAGGACCTAGTTGCAGCCAGTGAAGAGGCAGGGCCAGGAGTTGAGTCTGTACCCCTGCAACCACAATTAGGTGAGTACACTGACAAGTGAACATGCTCACCTGCCTTGGTCACATACTATTCTCTATAAATATATACAAATTATTTATAGATCCCAGCAATGTTTTTAGAAGTGCTGGAATATGAAACTCCTTGAAGCACAATGTCAGACAAGAGATTAAAAAGAAAAAGATTAAAAATTTTATTTCTTTGCAAAGATTACAATGTGTAATTACAATTTTGACTTCAGTACAAAGAAAGCCACTATCTATCATGCCAGGGCATGATAGTGCAGAGAGTGTCACTCAGCACTGCTGATGCAGTCAGTATTGCTGATTGTGCACTGCTCCAAGTGAGCATTGGCATATGTTTTTTATTTGTTTTCACTGTTACACTCTTTGTCTGTCTGAGAGAGCTGCTCATGAACCAACAGGTATTACACATGTTGCAGAAGCATCATTTCTGAACAAGTGGAAAGATACAGCCGTGGCTGAAATGTGTATTACTTGCCAGTCATACTTGTGACTTATATCTACAAGCACAGTATAGCACTTTGTCTGGCTTTTTTGGGTTATCCTAGGTAAATTACACTGTGTATGATAAATGTACTTGTGTGTACCTGTGCCTAAATAATCGTAGTTCTTGATTCTAATTCATGAGCGGCTCTCTCTGAAACAGACAAGCAGAGAGAGAAACAGAGCTAGCTAGCCAACCAACCAGCAAGCCATCCAGCTGAACATGTATCACGGATGTTGCAGAATCGTCTCTCTCTCTACTTAGGGCATAGGTGATAGGACATTCTGGCAGGATGACACTACCAGTTCCATCAAAATTTCAAAATTAAAAGGATGTGGCAAAAATGCTGCACATAGGGGCTCTGGTGGCCTGGTGGTTAACGCTCTCGCTTCACACGGTGAGGGCCTGGGTTCGATTCCCAGCCAGAGTAGAAACGTTGGACGTGTTTCTTTCCACCTGTTGTCTATGTTCCCCATCAGTAAAATGGGTACCTGGGTGTTAGTCGACTGGTGTGGGTCGCATCCTGGGACACTGACCTAAGGAGGCCTGGTCACAGACCGGGCCGCGGGGGCGTTGACCCCCGGAACTCTCTCCAGATCTCTCCAGAATAGGTTATTATTTAGGTTTTTGATATTTCCTTGAACACTTGTTGCCACATCCATCTCAAAGCCACTAAATTCGGGGTGAACATCACTTTCCTCCTAAAAGCAGTGTTAATATGACGTGGCATTTGTGAATCCCTGGGGTTTGCCATGCTCTAGCTGGTGCTCAACTGAGCTGATACTCCCACAAGGTATGTGGTCCCAGATTTTTTAATACAGTGGACCCCCGCCTTATGAACGCATTGCGTTACGTTAAATGCACCATACGAAGCATTTGAACGCAAAAATTTTGCCTCGCCTCATGATAAAAAACTCGTCTTACGTGATTCGTCCGGGACACGTCCCACGGGTGGCCTCAGCACCAGTGTTTACAAGCCAGCCAGTGCGGTCGCATCTACGCATGCATTCGGTACATTTCACATTATCCCAGTGTTTTTAGCGCTTGTAACTGCAAAATAAGTGAGGTAGTAGGTTGGTAGACAGCAACGCCCAGGGAGGTACTACCGTCCTGCCAAGTGAGTGTAAAACGAAATTCTGTAATTGTTTTACATGATGGTAGGATTGCTGGTTTCCATTTTTCTGTCTCGTAAACATGCAAGATTTCAGGTACGTCTTGCTACTACTTCTTACACTTAGGTCACACTGCACATACATGTACAAGCATATATATATGTACACACCCCTCTGGGTTTTCTTCTATTTTCTTACTAGTTCTTGTTCTTGTTTATTTCCTGTTCTATCCATGGGGAAGTGGAACAGAATTCTTCCTCCGTAAGCCATGCGTGTTGTAAGAGGCGACTAAAATGCCGGGAGGAAGGGGCTAGTAACCCCTTCTCCTGTATATATTACTAAATGTAAAAGGAGAAGCTTTCGTTTTTCCTTTTGGGCCTCCCCGCCTCGGTGGGATACGCCCGGTGTTGAAAGAAGAACTGCAAAATAAGTCACCATGGACCCCAAGAAAGCTTCTAGTGCCATCCCTGTGGTAAAAAGGGCGAGAATTAGTATGGAATTGAAAAAAGAGATTAAGGAAATGTGTGCAAAGTGGGTTGAACTGCAAACCTTTACGGATGAAAATCACCCTGACACAGCTACTGCAAGCCATGTTGGCAACCTGTACAATGACTCAGTAATAAACTCAGCATTGTAATCCTTATAGAGAATAAACTTTGAATTTGAATTTGAATGACAATTTTATGGCCCATTTTAGAAAAGTCTTAAAGGAACGGGAGGTACAGAGCTTTATGGACAGATTTGTTGTGCGACAGAGGTTCAGTGACTCTCAAGGTAGTCCTAGTGGCATTAAAAGAAGGGAAGTAACCTCAGAAAAGGACTTGCTACCTCAAGTCCTAATGGAAGGGGATTCCCCTTCTAAACAATGACTTCCACACACTCTCCTCCTCCCATCCCATCAATCATCACCAGATCTTCAGTAAAGGTACGTGTCATGTATTCTATTCTTAGTAGAGTAGTAATTGTGCATGTCTTCTCCAGTTTGTATTAAAATTAATATTTCATGTGGTAAAAATTTTTTTTTTCATACTTTGGGGTGTCTGGAACGGATTAATTTGATTTCCATTACAGTGGACCCTCGACCAGCGATGGCATCGATTAACGATAAATCTGACTAGCGATACATTTTATCGCAAAAATTTTGCCTCGATTAGCGCTAAAAAACTCGACCAACACTATTCCTTCCGTCTGAGACGCGACCACTTCTGGCCAGTGTTTACAAGCCAGCCAGCCACCGCGGTCGCTTCCAAGCATACAATCGGAACATTTCATATTATCACAGCCTTTTTAGTGATTGCACCTGCAAAATAAGTCACTATGGGCCCCAAGAAAGCTTCTAGTGCCAACCCTACAGCAAAAAGGGTGAGAATTACTATGGATATGAAGAAAGAGATCATTGCTAAGTATGCAAGTGGAGTGCATGTCTCCGAGCTGGCCAGGCTGTACACAAAACCCCAATCAACCATCGCTACTATTGTGGCCAAGAAAACGGCAATCAAGGAAGCTGTTCTTGCCAAAGGTGCAACTATGTTTTCGAAACTGAGATCGCAAGTGATAGAAGATGTTGAGAGACTGTTATTGGTATGGATAAACGAAAAACAGATAGCAGGAGATAGCATCTCTCAAGCGATCATATGTGAAAAGGCTAGGAAGTTGCATGACGATTTAATTAGAAAAATGCCAACAACTAGTGGTGATGTGAGTGAATTTAAGGCCAGCAAAGGTTGGTTTGAGAGATTTAAGAATCGTAGTGGCATACATAGTGTGATAAGGCATGGTGAAGCTGCCAGTTTGGACCAAAAAGCAGCTGAAAAATATGTGCAGGAATTCAAGGAGTACATAGACAGTGAAGGACTGAAACCTGAACAAGTGTTTAATGGTGACACTGACAATGTTGTGAAACACGTTAGGAATGTCATAAAGGAACGGGAGGTACAGGCCTCTATGGGCAGATATGTTGCAGATATGTTGTGCGACAGAGGTCCAGTGACTCTCAAGCTGGTCCTAGTGGCATTAAAAGAAGGGAAGTAACCCCGGAAAAGGACTTGCCACCTCAAGTCCTAATGGAAGGGGATTCCCCTTCTAAACACTAAGACCATCAACACACTTCCCTCTTCCCATCCCATCAATCATCACCAGATCTTCAATAAAGGTAAGTGTCATGTAACTGTGCATGTCTTCTTCAGTTTGTGTGTATTAAAATTAATATTTCATGTGTTAAATTTTTTTTTTTCAGTACTTTTGGGTGTCTTGCACAGATTAATTTGATTTCCATTATTTCTTATGGGGAAAATTAACTTGACTAACGATTATTTTGACTAACGATGAGCTCTCAGGAACGGATTAATAGTGTTAGTCGAGGGTCCACTGTATAACACTGTACTTCACAGTGTTAAGACCCATTCTATACTGGCTGGGCCTGTCAGGCCTCTGGTGCCAAATTTGAAGGTAGGAAAAATAGTGCATTGATTGATGTCATGAGCATTAGCAGTAAAACATGGATCAACATTTGGAAAGCTAAAGGGAAAATTTCACAGCAGTGAGATGGACATAATGACCCTTGGGCCATCACAACCATCATCCCAACAACAACAAACATGCTCAGAAATTTGAGAAGCCTTTCTCATGTTTTTATAATTTTTGTTCATATTTTCTTGAATAGCTTGCATTTATATTGTGGAGGGTATTACTCTTGACATTTATTTAGTAAAAAAAAATCTTGTCTTTGCCTGTAAAATATATTTTTTACTGAGCTGTGGCAGGTAATACTGCTTTCATATGTACAGAATTGCGTCAACCCTCCCCCACACATTTCCAGATCAGCAAGCAATGACAACTACAGTGAATATGTTCTTCTGCGGCCTAGAGCAACTCACGATGCTTTACCATCAACTGTATAATGTATTGCAGGATAAAAAAAAAAAAAAAAAAAAAAAGACCCAAGACACATTACAGAATTTCTTGCTACCCTTATCTATGTTCACTTTCAACTTTCTTCCTTAACACACTCTTACAAACTCTCTTTCTATATCTGATGTTCCCTCAATATCAGGATCGTGTGAGACAAATAAAAATATTATTACCAGATAGTTTGATGGTTAATAGATGAAGTAGCCTAATGATACTGCCCATAGTCCATCACCTGGTTTACCTTAGATTACCATCTAATATCAAAACACTTCTCTAGGCTTAGGTTGAGGCCTATGAGCAACATAACCTTGGGCCTCAAAGATGCTGGGTAAAATTTCTACTTATTTTGGGAAAAACAAGAGTCTTTGATGCCGTTAAATACAGTATTTATTTATGCTAGGTGAAATCACCTTTGTGTTGTTTTTTGTCTATAACATGTGTGTGCTGTCAAGACCATTCTTTAACATTTATGTACACTAGGCTTATATAAAACTTACTTTCTTAAAATGCTGGTCAATTTTATTTCAAAGAAAATTTGTTTTGATTTAGCCTGTGCAGGTCCCAGTTCATTTATTGTGTGTTTACCTTATACTGTACCTTATACTTGATGAGTTTCAATAGTCTTTCTACTCCTGGAGGCCAGCCATGGAAGACTTGTAAGGGCAGAATTTCCAAGGAAGAAGCAGTGAGGAAGGATCTGGAAACACTTGAGGACAGGCAACTACACACAAACAAGCCTAAAAGATTTGAATTAGATTTAGACTGAAAAATGTTCAGTGAGCCTGTGTCAAGCGTGTCAGCGTGCCTCGTTGTGCTCCGGGTTTTCTCGTGTTTTCACGGTCGCTCTTACGTGCTAGAACTTTAATTTGTGTCATCAGTCCTATACGACACATCCCTCTAGCGCCTGGAACCAATCTTGGGCGGAAAACATTATATACTGAGTCAAAAAAGGAGAATTAGTGTGCACTACCTAGCAGAGTTTACTGCCAGAGGGCTGTATAATCCTCCGGGTTTAGCGCTTCCCCCTTGATTATAATAATAATAATACTGCCAGAGGGGAATCAGGCCTGTGTCCCGTGTGAAAAAAATAATAATTGAACTTTTCGTGTCAGAGGAAAGAAAGTCTCCCTGATAACATTGAGTATACATAGTGTATAGTGTATACTACAGTGGCTCCCTAGTATATTGATGATAAAGGCTAAAGTGTCATTTGAAAACAGGTGAATTTGTAAATGAAGTGATAAGCCTATAGAGGCAGGTGCCAGAAGTCGCCAGAAACTTACCACAGGTCAGCTGTTTTTAATAATCTTCCTGGCTTGCTAGTGTACTCGCATATAATCTAGTGATACCAGTGAATAGCAGAATACAGTGTTGTAGTAGCAACTAACCAGTATTATAATGGTACTTAGTGGAGTGGAGTGACTTTCATTAGTTTCTTTTTTCTTGAAATACCAGACATATACTGTGAATTTCATATAACCTGTAGTTACCAGCGGTCGCAATATACACAACGAGAAGCAATTATTACTACAGAAAAAGCGTCCTCCCTCCAAAATTTCCACCAGTCAACTATAGTGATAATATAGCATTTATTGTGGTGGAGACGAAAAAAAATAGAAAAGCTAGATACAGCGATTGATAAACAAGGGTTGAGGTCGACCGTTCGTCATTGTAGGAGTTGCCAGCAGTCACCGGTTTCTTCAACACGCAAGTTATACTTTTGTATCAATCAAATCACATATTACTCGGGTAGATAATTTCCAGTAGATCCTTCATGTGTTAGCTCAAATCACCGACCAGTATGTTTTAAATAAGTGACCCACTGATCAGATCAGATCGACTGGTCCGAACCCTTGACTGGTTTCAAACGGTTTCGTTGGAAAATAAAGCAGACTGTAAACGGATGGGGTTGTAGGCGCCCTTATAAACACAAACATTAAATATAAATCAGGAACGTGCACGGTAAGCTGTCCAATATACAAAAACAGAAACAGAAATACAAATAGCTAGAGCTTCATTTAAAGAGGTTATTAATAGAATCTTCAAGAGGTTGCTAGTAGAATTGCAGTAAATCAACCATTCAAATCATTATGAAGCTGTGTGTAGTCTGTGGTCAGTCAAACAAACGGGCTTCCACATGGGTAAATTGTCATTTTTGTGGAAATTGGTGTCACGCCCCTTGTGCAGATATCCAAGAACTAGCTACAAGCAGTGTTAAAACAGGGAAGTGTTTTTGGGTATGCCCAAATGAGATAAATCTGTGGACTAAAATCACAAGGGTATTAAAAGAGGACAACATCAAAGCTGCTTTCATAGAAAACCTGGAAGCTTTCTACAACAGATGGGAACATAAAAGTCTGGGCTGAATGGTACTGCCCTTGATACTGGCCATGTAGTCAGAAACTGTAAGGCTGGAGATGAAGTCCTGGTAGTCAGTAAATGTGGGGCTGATAGTGCTGTCCTGGGAGACAGTAATGGTGAAGCTGGAGGTGCTGTCCTGGGAGACAGTACTGGTGAAGCTGGAGGTGCTGTCCTGGGAGACAGTAATGGTGAAGCTGGAGATGCTGTCCTGGGAGACAGTAATGGTGAAGCTGGAGATTTTGTCCAGGTAGTCGGGAATTATACGCAGGAAGGAATACATATAAATGACCTTATAGGGGACAGGAGCCATAGTAGGGAAACAAGTGTAGTCAAAGATAAGATAAAACCAATATTGCAAACTAGAAATACCGCAGGAAATAGCAAACAAGAGGACTCCACTAGCAATAGTGAGGATATATTACCAAAAACAACTGGTGGGAGCTCCATTGTTGGTGCTAGGGAGGATAGAAGTAAGACAGGGAAAAACAGATGGGACGTGCAACTATGACCACCCTAGAAAATGCCATGCCCATATGACAACAGGAAAATGCAAACTCCCTTCCTGTAAGCTTTTTCACCCTGAACTGTGTACCTCTTCAGTACAGGAAAGACTGCTATAACTTAAATTGCCAGGCATACCATCTAAAGGGGACAAAAAGATACGAAACATCCAGGGCATGGGAAAACCTGGGTAGCCACAGCCACTCAAGAGGGAGAGGTTTTTTAGTGCCAGGAAGGAAAAAAAACTGGCAGGAAATGGCAGAAATCGTACACCAAATCCAGTCATTCCTGGAGTGGAACCACAGTCGATGGCCTCCACTCCAAACCAACAGATACAGATACTAATGCCGGAAAAAAAATCCCCCCCCAGTACCAACAATACCACCAGTCCGATAACATTCTTCTTTGCAAATATACAGGGTCTAAAGCCAGCAACAAACAAAATACCTTTCATCCGTGGACTGCTTGCAGAGGCAAAGGCAATGTTCGGCTTTCACTGAGACCCACATAAAGGATCACTTGGACAACGAAATATGGATCCCAGGTTACAACCTATACAGATGTGACAGAGTGAACAGGCAAAAGGGTGGGGGTTGGCTGTACATTGCAGAGTCACTTGTTTGCACAGAACTGCTTATTGCCTCAAATGATGTAGTGGAAGTTTAGCAGTAAAGGCCCCGAGAACCAAAACCTAGTCATTGTGGTAGTCTACAAGCCTCCGGATGTAACATCCCAGCAATTCCAGGAACAGCTGTTAAAAATTGACCACTGTCTGGAAAATCTCCCAGCTCCTGCACCCAACATCTTGCTCCTGGGGATTTCAACTTAAGGCACCTAAAATGGAGGAATATAGCAAATAATATTGTTGCAAAAAATAACACCAGGAGGCAGCTCTGATGAAAACTCACACTCACACGAGCTTTTAAATCTCTGCACAAAATTCAATTTAAACCAGAAAATAATAGAGCCTACTAGACTGGAGAATACACTAGACCTCATCTTCACTAACAATGATGATCTGATAAGAAATGTCACCATATCAAAAACAATATACTCAGAAACACAACATAATGAGGTTCAGACATGTATGCGTGGAGCCCCAGACCGACATAATGAGACTAGTCACGAGGGAGCATTCACCAAATTCAGCTTCAATAACAAAAACAAAGTGGGACCAAGTAAACCAAGTCCTAACCGATATAAGCTGGGAAGATATACTAAGCAACACAGACCCCAACTTATGCCTAGAACAGATTAACTCGGTGGCACTTTGATGTATGCACAAGGCTTATTCCTCTAAGAAAAAGGAGGAGTAGATGTAAAATAGAAAGAGACAGGCGCTCCCTTTACAGGCGATGGAAAAGAATAACAGAGCGGCTAAAAGAGGTCAATATATCTGAAATGCGTAGGGAGACACTTGTCAGAGAAAAAGCAAGCATCGAACTTAAGCTAAAAAATCCTTTAGGAGTCAGGAATCGCGGGAAGAACTAAAAGCCATAAATGAAATCGAAAGAAACCCAAAGTATTTCTTCTCCTATGCCAAATCAAAATCGAGAACAACGTCCAGTATTGGGCCCCTACTTAAACAAGATGGGTCCTACACAGATGACAGCAAGGAAATGAGTGAGCTACTCAAGTCCCAATATGACTCAGTTTTTTAGCAAGCCGCTAACCAGACTGAGAGTCGAAGATCAAAATGAATTTTTTATGAGAGCCACAAAATTTGATTAACACAAGCCTATCCGATGTTATCCTGATGCCAAATGACTTCGAACAGGCGATAAATGACATGGCCATGCACTCTGCCCCAGGGCCAGACTCGTGGAACTCTGTGTTCATCAAGAACTGCAAGAAGCCCCTATCACGAGCCTTTTCCATCCTATGGAGAGGGAGCATGGACACGGGGGTCGTCCCACAGTTACTAAAAACAACAGACATAGCCCCACTCCACAAAGGGGGCAGTAAAGCAACAGCAAAGAACTACAGACCAATAGCACTAACATCCCATATCATAAAAATCTTTGAAAGGATCCTAAGAAGCAAGACCACCACCCATCTAGAAACCCATCAGTTACACAACCCAGGGCAACATGGGTTTAGAACAGGTCGCTCCTGTCTGTCTCAACTATTGGATCACTACGACAAGGTCCTAAATGCACTAGAAGACAA